CACCCCGGGCCCCCCCCCCCCCCCCCCCCCCCTTGTGGATAGCCCCTCACCCATTTTACAATCATCACGTCTCCCATTAACCTAACCTAACCTTCCGATGCTTCCGAATCTCCCCAAAATATAATCGCCCTCAATGAAGATGGCAACAACACTGTTTGTCGAAACGTTGGGAAATATTCAACAGTCTACGCTGCTTGTTTCCGTAAACAAAAATTAATCAATGAAACCAGTAGTCGACTTACACGTACCTGCATCGTTATTCCGTGGCCTGGTCGCGCCTGGTCGCGCTGTCATTTGTCAGGTCGACCACCGGCGTTGGTGGTCGTGGTCTCTTACTTGGCCTCCCGCCATCTTCTGACCTGCTCAGTTTCCTCTTCTGTGACGGAGTCTTCCCGACAGCCGCAGGTGTTGTTTGCGCTGCAGGAATCTCCGTCGTTTGTGTATCTGAAGAGAAATACACGAAATATTCAGTCTGTGTTCGTGTAAGGGACACAGCGATTCTCAACACTTGAACACGTCTGCTCCAGTATATTTTCTGCTGATAAATACTCTAACATTCGCTGAAGACTGCAACTACTATTCCATGTTTTAAAAATTAAAGCTGTGCATAATTCTCCCCATGAAGTCGCCTTTCTTGTTAATTCTGAGCAGTTTTATAAACTGAGTCAAGTGAATGTAGGGCAGAAGGCAGTTGCTGGCCCACATTTTAACTTGCGTTGACAGAATTCAGCGTGGTACAAACCTTTATTCTAGCAAATGCTATCACTTTCTTCATTACCCGTGTGCCCCTGAATTTTGTTTATCGTATTCAAATTCAACAAAACGTGATCCTAATTATGCGACCTGAGAGGAGATAAAGCAATTGGGTGGAAAAGGAAACTCACATCATCAGACTTGCCTCTGTACCAAAGTTTCGGAAGAATGTACTGATACCATCTTCAGCGATGGCGATGGAGGCAGTATGTTCCTCCGGAACGCAGAAATGTATTTACGTGTGCACATGGCATTACAACGCAGAGGACCAACGTCAACATGGAGTGTCCTTTTCTGGGCACATTTGAAATCAAACTCGTCTGAAGAAACACGAGTCGCAAAAAGTAGGTTTCTTCTGAAACTAAGTCACGTATCTCACCTGAGCATGAAGTGACACGATCCTGGGATCGAGCAGGGGATGGCGGGAGGTGATTATCCTTGGCGCCGAGGATCATTTCGTCATCGTAAACCGGCTCAAACGGAGCTTTCTTGGCTTTTCGAGCCATATCAGCCCAGTTGATTTTCTGTGGGATGAACACGAGTATTAATGGTGACTGCAGAGTGAAAGTCTGGCTGGCAAGGCTCAACTGGGAGCATCTCATTTGAACAGATGCTTCAGTTGTGCAGACAGAAAAGGGTTCTGAAAACAGTCTTCAGCGTGGCTACAAATTTTGGTCTCTGCTGTAAGTTATTTAGCAATAGTACAGATTGCAGGGAGGGGTGTTTGAGGATGCACCCAAGGTTCTAAGCAAGTTATTTGGAAATCTAAGGCGTGTGGCGAAAGGTTTTTTTTAAAAACGTCATCTGTCAATGATTTATGCATTCGCTTCCTAACTTGTTACTGTGAACTCATAAAGCAACTTCTGTCAGTGTTATGATATTTGTTGCAGAAGATGAATTTTGCTCACTTAAGTCTTAAGATAAGTCAAGAGTCTCAAACTGTTTGGATGATACGGGAAACCTTGATTTCCTTAATACAAGTTAACGTGGCCAAGACACAGTCTAGAACTGAAACATTTAGAACAGACACGGAGACAGAACTCACGTTGAAGAACGGGTGCCTCTTAATGTCATCCACTCCGTTCTTGCCTGCACCAAGACGCTTCGTTGGATCTTTACTTAACAATCCTACGACGAAATCTTTCGCCTTAGCGGAAAACTTCGTCGGGATCACCGGATCTTGCGTCAGAATTCGGCTGTAATGGGAGAAAAGAACGCCATTCTTGTATTTGTATATAGAAAACTACATATTAAATATGCATCCATAATTAGTGTGCCTAATTCCCCTCACTTCTATCATAAGAAGCCTCATCAGTGGCTCTTTTACACGGAGATCTCTGAAGCGGGTAACTCAACAGACGTTTAAGATGGATCATCTATAAGGACGCACTCAGCTTCTCAACATTTCGAACCCTTTACTGCCCTGTCCCTCACAGTCAATTAGGGCCCTGGACAATCGTCAGATTTTACATGGTTTTGGTCACCAGGCGTTTTTTCTGACTGCAATTCATTCCCTGTCCTAAGGTTTATTTAGCACGTGTTTAAAGGAGCTTGGACGTCACACACTGAACTCACTCGTAAAGCCTCATGTAGTTGTCACTCTCATCATCCTCTTCTTCAAATGGCGTGGCTCCTTTTAGCATCTCATACACCATGATGCCTAGACTCCACCAATCAACCGCCTGCAACAGAAACAGGTGAAATCAGTCACTTTTCATTTCTAAAGACTTCTACATGTCCACAAGAATTTAAGGGCAACAAAATTTGCGGGATCTATAAGGTGTTGTTAATTTATTGCGTTAAGGTTATATATATATTAATTCTCCATTCTTCTGGCAAATGAGTGTCCGTCGGCACAAAGTTAACTGCACCAAAGACAGACGAAAGCTTCTGACACCTGTAACGTGCACTGACTATTTATCTTTAAATGATGTTATGAGCAGTTGGTAAACACACACAGATTTTGAAATATTTTTTCGTTGTTGGCCCTTCCTGGAGGGCATTGGTTGAAGAACTTCTCATCCCGCATGAAATTTGTACTTATGAATCCGTACCCTTGTTGGTTCAGTCACATGAGACAGTGAAATCCTCATTGTCAGATTGCCATTGCGTAAGAAATTACCTTGGTATGTTCTTCCTGTTTGATCACCTCAGGAGCTATGTAATGGGGAGTGCCACAGAAGGTATATTCACGTTTATTCTGTTGATAAAAACAATATTTTACATAAGTGTGAGAATATTATGAGACACAAAGCAACTAGTAACTAACTTTCTGGTAGTAAGGCTAAAAACTTTTAATATCGCTAATTCCAAAGACCACCACAGGACGCAGTGCCATTTTCCTCCTGCTCTCAAAATCAATTCTTTTTCTTATATTCCTCTTAATTCTGTCCCCCGATGTTCTTCCTCGTCCTTTGCCTTGGTCCTTTGTAAGGGGTTTGTCTCACCAAGACTTATCCACAAAGTTTCTCATTAAATAACATCTAAATTATTCCTCTCTTTACCTCATACAGCTTTGTTTCCATTAGAGTCTATCTTCTAACACCGGTAATTTCTGTTATGGTGTTTATATTTCTTTATGGTAAAAAATCCCGAAGGAATTGCAAACAGATTTGCTACAATTAAAATGGTTCTGTGCTTCTGAGTTCAGCTCCTCAATTTCGGAATGCATCCGATGCATGTTAGTTGCACTTTCCGTTAAATATTGGTACAAGACACACAATCTGATCACGGATGAAGCGATTTTAACAACTGAAATACGTACAACCTTTATGATTCTTGTATTCTGACGTCCGTCAGACAAAGCGTACTGACAGTGGTCCACGCAGCTCCTGCATTGTCGGCCTACGTTTTCCTGTAGCTGGACTAAGCAACAAAAGGGCCTCAGGTGGAAATTAAATTTACCTTCTGACGAGGGTGGAACTTCTTACAGAGGCCGTAATCAGTGATCCTCAAGTGGCCACTGGAGTCTATGAGGATGTTCTCGAGTTTTAGATCGCGGTAGATGACGCCCATCTGGAAAAAACAAAACAAAATTAACAAATTGCTTCTGTTCTGTTGTGTTTCCGTACTTATTGTGGCTGTGAGATGCACACCCAGCAGTTTGCTTTTCTGCTACGCTGTAGCTGCTCTGACTAATTTTATTAAGTTATGACTATGCTCATGAGTCAGGAAGTTTCATGTCACTGGGTCTGAAAGCGGAGGAGGAGGAGGATTAGGGACAGGAACCCTGTGATCTTAACAAATTACCTTTTCTAACACAACTCATAAAAATAATTATTTTTCTACCTAATGATCACAATCGTAATTTCCCAAACTGTTGGCTGTCATTTTCAACCAGACACAGAAATGGGCTATTTGAACGTGCAAACAAACAAACAAACAAACAGACAAATACTGTATTTGTTAGGCAGTTCATTGGCGAGGTCTGCAGTGAGCTTACCTTGTGCAGGTGTTCGATACCGAGGACGATTTCGGCTGTATAGAATTTAACATCGCCCTCTCGAAATTTACGTTTGTGGAACAGAAGCTTACATAAATCTCCACCTTCCATAAAGTCTGTGAACACATTGAAAACAATAATTTCCAGACCTCCTTATTTTAACGACCATTACTCTTACTAGATGTCAGCGAATAGTAGTGTATTGCATATTAAATTCGACAAAATGTAAGTGTAAAGGTTGAAGGGTAACATAGTTTAACAAGAAGCAAGGAATTCTTCCCTAATTCGGCTGCGAATTCTGAATCTCTACTAA